CGCACACACACTCGCACACACACACACACACACACACACACACACACACACACACACAGACAGACAGACAGGTGTGTGATTCTGGCAGGTGTGAGGCGGCAGAGGTTTACGACAGCCTCATCAATGAAGACTGATAAGAGCATAATGCAGCACTGTTTCTTTTTCTTTTCCACATGAGATCGGGACACATTTAACCCCTGAATACTTTATCTGAGGTTCTTTACTCTGGGGGTATAGGGCTGGTAATGATGGAGATGAAGGTTAAATATTAAATAGGGAGAGAAAAATCAGTTGAGATAAAAATGTATGTAAAGCCATGACAAAGTGCATTTTACCAGATATTTATACACTCCTTTCTCACACACACTCTCTAATCTACTGTTCAAAAATTTGGGGTGAGTACTAATTTTTTTTGAAAGAAGTCTCTTATGCTCACCGAATGTATTTTATTCCTCTTATGACAAAGCTGAATTTTTAGCAGGCATTAGTTAAGTCTTGAGTGTCACATGATCCTTCAAATATCATTCGGATATGCTGATTTGCTGCTCAAGAAACACTTTTTAAATTTTTTTTTTTTTTCAATCAATGTTGAAAACAGTTCTTTTGCTTAACATTTTTGTGGAAATTGTGATTTCGTTTTTCAGGAATGTTTGATGAATTGTAAATTCAAAAGAACAGCATTTATTTGAAATATAATTAAAAAAAAAAAATAAATATACAGTATTTATGGTCACTTTCTGACTGATCAGTATTAATGAATCCTTGCGGAACAAGAAAAAAACTGAGTAACAGTAGTAGTGTACAGTATAAATAAATATTTTCTTCTTAATATATGTAAAGGATAAATATAAAGTCCTGAAGGGGTTTATTTTGCGGTGATGATGGGGACACTACAAAAATATCTAATTACAGAAAGCTGTGATTGACCAATCAGAATAAAGTATTCCAGAGACACATATAAATAAAGAAAATAAATAAGCCTGTATAAACCTCATGACTTGTTTCATTATCAGTGTATCACTGATGAGACTGCTTGTGTTATTATTAACCACTTTCACACTTGAAAGCTGCTAAATTTCCAGAACAACTTTCCCACATCCATTATTAGCAAAAGCAGCAGTTTTCAGTGTTTTATACTCACTGACATCACCAAAATACATTACATCTGACACCATTTGCAAGAAATAACCTACTGAAATTTAATTTGATTGCATTTCTTAAAGGGTTAGTTCACCCCAAAATGAAAATTCTGTCATTAATTACTCACCCTCATGTCGTTCTAAACCCGTAAGACCTCGTCGGAACACAAATGAAGAAATTTTTGATGAATTTTGAGAGCTCTCTGACCCTCCCATAGACAGCAATGTAATTACCACGATCAAGGTCCAGAAACGTAGCAAGGAGATCGGTAAAATAATCCATGTGACATCAGGGGTTCAACTGTAATTTTACGAAGCTACGAGAATACTTTATGTACGCAAAGAAAACAAAAATAACGACTTTATTCAACAGTTCGTCTCCTCCGCGTCACCCTGGTGCCATTTTGGAGAGTATCCACTGAATGTAAACAGCGCATGCTATTCTGTGTCAGCCACGTGACACGGCTTCATTTCATACAGAATTTTCATTTTTGGGTGAACTAACCCTTTAAAGGTGCCATAGAATGGAAAACTGTATTTACCTTGGCATAGTTGAATAATATCTGTTCTGTACATTGAAATTACATACCGTGAGCCTCAAACACCATTGTTTCCTCCTTCTTATGTAAATCTTGTGCATGCAAAAGACCACTGAAAAATCGGCGAATCAGAACATAACACTGACTGTGATGTTACAGTCGGGATCACTAATAGTTACGACCCCAACATTTGCATATACCCGCCCATGTTCTATGCCAGCCGCCAGCCGAACCTGCACAGCCAAATCATCAGAAGTTCTGCAGGTATTGTGAAGAAACAAGCGAGGATAATAGCGAAAATGGCAGATCATGGAAAGGCTGTGCAGGGGATGTCATGTGCAGGGATGGGTTGGTGTCTGTCTTCAGAAAGGGACGGAAAACAAATAACGAGCCACTAAAGGGACATGGTTAGCTCCTTGCTAGCGGTAGCCTGTTACATTACAGGACACAAGATTTCACTTACCACATAAACAGAGGAAGGAGGAAATATATATTTTCCGTGTGTTTCCTTCCTGCTGTGTGAGCTACTTAAAAGAGCCGCACTGTGAAACAGCCAATCAGAGCAGACCTCAACATTGAGCCGCACTGTGAAACAGCCAATCAGAGCAGAGCTCAACATTATTATTCATGACCCTTCCAAATAAGGAAAAAACAGACCATTTCATTCTAGGGACAAATCCTAGGGTTGTAAATGGACATGTAAAACTGTTTTTCCCTTAACTAAGCCACATATACCTTCTATGTAGATATCAGAGAACAATTTAAAATATTGTATCAATGCATTCTATGGCACCTTTAATACAATGCCGCTAGCTAGCTACAACATGCTAAAAGATTTTGACTCTGCATCATGTGGGCCGATAACTTTATGTGTGAATTACGCTTATAAACTTACCATAAGATCAGAAATGTGACTTCTCTAAGATGGGTTCTCACCTGTATGACGTGATCTTTCTCAGCTTGGTGACTGGTACATCATAGCCACACTCTTCTAGCACTTCCTGCCTGGCAATCTCTTCCAGAGAGAGGTTGGGTTTGTCCACCAATCCTGCGCACAGCTCGTAGGTCACGCCGGCCGAAGCGGGAGGTTGGTGGCTCGACGTCCCTTCACTTGTCTCTCCTGCTTTATCCTCTTCCGGGACTTTAGGTTCTGCTGGTGTGGCTTCCGCTGACTCTTCCTCTGACGGTTGCAGGGGCTTCGCTTTGCTGCGCTCCCATTCGCTCATGTATACAGCTGTGGAGAAATAAGACGTGTCACTCATCATTCAAGAGTGCTTCCAAATACAAAGAGAGATGAGGAAACACTTTGATTGATGAGATCTCAAACATAATGTTTTAGATCATGTAGGCACAAGTATGTGTTTGAGAAGAAGTTGCAGAGGGGCCAATAAGGGTGCCCAAGATAAAGAAAAAATAAATCAATCTTTTTATTAGGGCTGTCAAATCCATTAATCGCATCTGAAATAAAAGTTTACATAATGAGTGTGTACTGTGTGTGTGTATATTTAAGAAATATGTAATATATTTACAAATAATATAAATCATATAAATATGAATATATATATATATATACACATACACATATATATATATACACACACACACATATATATATATATATATACACACAAGTAAATATTTCTTAAATATATACATACATATGTGTGTGTGTGTGTACTTATATACATATAAACATACACAGTACACACTCGTTAGGTAAACACAAACTTTTATTTTGGATGCGATTAATCATTTTGACAGCCCAACTTTTTAATACATATTTACTATTTGCATATAGTGTAACCATCACCAAAAATAATAACAATTCCCTATATCTTAAATACTCAAGTACATAGAATCATTATTTTCAAAAATGGTTTTAAATATATTTTAAACCATTTTTAAATATTTGAAACTATTAATATAAATTATTTATATAATTTATATAAATATTTATATAATGGTAAAATATCATGAATAAATAAATATTATATATATATATATATATATATATTCATGATATTTTACATTTATAAGTATTGTTTTTGAAGATAAATAGATGTTTAAAAAGATGTTTTTTGGGGAAAATTATCTTATATTTTAAGAGACTTGCTGACCTTGTAATAACAGTAATGGATTGCAGAATATTTCTATAATTGTAATCTGTCTACATAGTTTTTATAATGATTTAGTTATTTTAGTACTTCCACATAAATGAAAATCAGAAATCCTTGGCAACTATCTGTAATAAATATCTGTTTTGATATGTTATTTTATTTCAGTTAATGACATTTCTTTTACGGTTTTAGTTAACAATAATAACCCTGAGCTGAACTCATGGTTCACCACACATAGGTTTGAACCTACAACCCTACAGATATCTATACCCAGATCTTTAGTACTACGCCCTTCAGACGAATGTACTGTACAGTTGGGACTGACTGAGAGCTCACTTAAAGAAAAGCCATCCTTGAGAAGACTTGTTCTTATGTTTCCATGCACAAGGCCTGCCTTTTCATTTCAAGCATTGTTTGAAGACTACAAAAAAGAAAAAAAACAGTAGAAAGACGTCTCTCTTTCAATGCAAGGCTTTCCTTCCATTCTGAGAAGCAGGGCGCCGTCCCTGGCGAGCATGCATAGAACAATAGTGTAACAGTGTAGCGCGGGGCCAAAGCTTCACAGAGAGCACTGAAAAATGCTCTGTTTGCACGACGACCATCGACATGAAAAATGTTCCATTATGAGACTGTTATTGTTTTAGAGGCTTTCTACATTGCATTAGGTCAATATATGCCTTTGTGGTTTTCTCTATGTGTAATCTAAACACTGAACGTTTCATTTAGAAGTGACTAAAGATGATACAAGGTCACTAGACCAAATGAAAAAGCCTAAGTCACAGAAAGTGCAACACATTTGAGAGAAATTACCTGAATGGATGTGGCAAGGTCCTAAACTGTGTTTTACCAGACAAATGTCTATTAACCATGTTATTGTCAACCAAACATTTCAACATAGCAACACTCTCTAATAGCAGTTATAAAACGGCACCTGATATCTGTTGCATATCAGATGTTTTTAAAAATCTGCAGCAGAACAAAAGATATTTCATAATCTCTTTCAAGTAGAGATAACAGAGGGATCTGGGTGTTGTACGTCACATTGTAACAAGATACAGTATAAATGAAGTATGTGTGAAAAGTTTAGATGTGAGTCTTTGTAAAATCAGTGTCAAGCTGTTGTTCTGCTGTGAAAACATACTACAAAAAAAGTTAGAATAACACATTAAAAGAAGATTTTAGGGAAGTTTTGAATGCATCTATCCCACACAGGCGCCTGGGTTGTGTTGGATGAGGGGGAGTGTATAGGTTAGCACAACTCAGAAAGATACGAAACAAACAGGAAGCATTAGTTTTGGTGTAAAATGCCTCAGAAGCTTTCTTGACAATTTGGGGGGTGGGGGTTTGAGGGCTTTTTTTGTAACAAGGTTGTGCAAAATTCACAGTTGAATTGAAAATGGTTATTAAATGCAAAATCAATTTCTGAATTAAATTTTAATGAACAAAGAGGCAGCATCGCAATTCAAATTTGCTTTATTTTTCTAATTAGAAAGACAGGGAGTGAAATTTCCAATTCCAACTCATTAAGTAAAAGGGAGTCATAACCCTGATATCTACAGTAATTGAAAAACCTTGCAGCCTTAAACCTTCTCAGGGAAGTAGAAAATAAGCTGTACAAAACAGTCATTAACAACAAAGATTACAACTAAAATCAATCAAAATCAAAGACTCAAGAGTGGAAAAACATCAGGAATTAACAAGGACTGCAGGGCATTACCTGGGCGGAACTGCTTGACCAGGATGAAACAGTGTGAGGTGGTGTTGAAAATCAGCACAGAGACACTGGAAAGAGGAAAGAGCAACGAATTTAGAAGTTGAGTTGGCATTTAGAGAAGCGGTTCCAGTTTGATCAGTACTCAACAATGGATATCTTTGCTTCCTGTTAATGCATCCAGTCCTGCCAGAGCAACAACACAACTGATCCAACAACTCATCTAGGCTAAGTGATAAAGAGAGAAAGTGAACGTGAGCATGTGTGTGAGAGAGAGAGGCACATGGACACCCTTGCTCCATCAAGCCCCAACAAATCACCCAGGATTAACACCTTGGATGTGGTCTTGGCTTTTCACTTCATCTCGGTTTGAGACTGAACATAATGCCCTAAGAAGAAGAGAATAAATCCCTGTGTCTTAAGGATCTCTGTATAATAGGATTTACCCACTGAAGCATACTGGGATAGCCAGGCCTCGGTGGACTGAAAGCAAGCTAATAGCTCAGCATGGCATAAGGTTTCTGTACAGCACTTTCACACTCATACAAGCAACATCTTCCCCCACTCTTCAACCAGGACACATACCTGACATAACATCTGTCTCGACCATTTATGAGAGTTATTAAAATAGACAAATCATAATAGGCTGAAAGTCAAATTTATTTAGTCAACTGTCTTTATTAATTGAACTTTTAGAGATGGATCTTAATAGTACAAGGCCTTAAAGGAATAGTTCAATGAAAAATGAAAATGTACTGAAAATTTGCTCACCCTCAGGCCATCCAAGATGAAGTTGAGTTTGTTTCTGCATCGGAACAGATTTGGAGAAATTCAGCAATACATCACTTGCTCACCAATGGATCCTTTGCTGTGAATGGGTGCCAATAACTGCAAAAAGCTGAGTGTGTTTGTAAGTAATAAATCAAACATTAAGGCGTTTATCTTTAAACCATCGCTTCCGACCCCATAATCTACTGTATAATAACATTTCCTTCGCTTGTAAATGGTGCTTAATTTATTCATATTTCTCTCCTATGTTCCTCTGGAGAAAGCAATATTATGGATATACTCGTATTTTAGCTTGAAACATTTTGAAGTTAAAAATGTCTTGATGGATTTGTTCCTTATCAAGACGCAGCTTTTCTCTTCATGAAACTTTAACTTTAAACTATTGTTTGTTTAGGCTAATTGGTGTGAAAGTGTATCAATGTGAATTGATGTGAGACTACACGCTGTGAGATGCAAGACAAATTTAGGAAAGAACTCCAACAATAAAGTGTAATTGGATTGAATAATTGAATTGAAAAATTAATCTTAAAATTAACAAATGTCTCTATTTGTATTAATTTAACAGACCTTTGAAGTTTGGGCAAAAACTCGTGGAAGTGATGTGTTTTCGTGCATTTTATTTTTTCATATGGTGATTGTGAAACACGAAACACCTCAATTACATGATTTTATGGTGAAATTTGTTATTTTTCATGTTAATCTGGTCAATTTTGATCAAGAACAATACACTTTGGCTTTAATTCAGTGTAAGCGGCGCAGCAAAAATAGACTCGGCGTCAAAACGATCGCCGCACTGCCGCTTCTGCTCTGCTCCTGCTACGTGCTGCCACGCCACCTCTGCGTGCGATGTGAATACTCTAATCTGTTAACATGAGCGCCGAAAAAAAAAACGCTCTGCTTACGCGTGCGGTGTGAAACCGGCTTTAGGGTAAAGCGTGCGTATGCGTTGTGATACTCACCAAAATGGCAGAAGACAGTAACTCGGGGGAGAAGAATTATTGAATAAAGTTGTCATTTTTGTTTTCTTTGCGCACAAAAAGTATTCTCGTAGCTTCGCAAAATTGAAGTTGAGCCACTGATGTCATATGGACTATTTTACCGATGCCCTTGCTACGTTTCTGTCTGGGAACATTTCAGTTGCATTGCTGTCTATGGGAGGGTCAGAGAGCTTTCAGATTCCATCAAAAATATCTTAATTTGTGTTCTGAAGATGAACGAAGGTCTAACGGGTTTGGAACGACATGAGGGTGAGTAATTAATGACAGAATTTCATTTTGGGGTGAACTAACCCTTTAATTGATGGACTGAGTCATGTGGATTATTGTGATATTTTTATCTGTCTGTCTGATATTTTTAGCTGTCTGGTCTCTCTACTGACGGCACCCATTCACTGCAGAGTATCCATTGGTGAGCAAGTGATGTAATGCTACATTTCTCCAAATCTGTATTAGGGTTGGGCGATGTCTACCAAACTGGCATCGGACGATGTCTGCAGTGAAACATCGTGATGGAAGATGACATCGGGGGGCGGGGCGGGGTTAGTGGTGTGCCCGAAGCGTGAAACAAATAACGCATTCTATGGAGCCACTAAAAGGTTAGCCGCTTGCTAGCGGTAGCCTGTTGCATTACAGTACATGAAAGTTCACTTACCACATACACAGAGTAAGGAGAAATGTCTGATAGGACGATGGCGAATGATCTGCAGATCCTGAGCACCAATAACAAACATCTAATCTTGTCAAATGTGTGGTAAGTACTGCCGCTCCATAGTATAGAGTCCTTGTGATCGCGAATCTCAAAAGTGAAAGTGAAAGTAAAATGAGAGCACGCAATCGAAAGCGGTTTTAATAGCGGCTCCCTGATGCCCGCAATTTATATACAGTCGCCTATACTTACCCAACGATATAATTGCTAGAAAAAGTATTGAAATATTTTTTTTTAATCCTCGTAGGCTATTTATTCCCTTTAGGGTTTCCATAGTACACTTCATTTCCTTTCCGAACACGGAATTGGGATGCGGCGGATTGCGGGAGAGGGGGTGGGGGGGAAGGAATCACGATGCCAGCTTAACATCGTGATGGCTGTCAGCCATCGGCGATGGACGATGGCATCGTCTATCAGCCCAACCCTAATCTGTATCTTTTTGGGGTGATGTATTCCTTTAAGGTGTGGACACATTAATGAAATTTCGGCAAAATATCGCATATAGCAATGCATGAATGGCTGCTTGCAAAGAAGTCACTTTCAAAACAAGCAACTTCCTATTGGTCAACATGGCAAATGCGTGGGCAATTTGAACCAGCTGTGAAATCTGTTTGGGCAAATCTTTCGGCTTCACACAAAATTCCCAATTGTCTTACAGCGCTCTATTGAAATTTGCCTGCAAAATTCTGCACAAGGCGGTAAATGTGACCGTGCAAGGTTTGCCGACTGTCACAGGCCTCAGATCATTCTATGCTATAATACGTTGTATTAGTGTGATTGTTTCGATGGCAATGGAGAGAGACGGCTCTTTGAGTGGGGAAAGCGGATATGTCTGTAGAGTCAGGAAGCCCTGCCCTGCCTTTCCCATGGTGAATGCGTGCCAGAGATTACCACACAGCCTGAATGTAAACCAACACACACTCCTGAATCTTACCCACAATATGTATTCACATACAATTTGTTCTCTCCTGTAATTTTTTTTTTACATGGCTAGACATAGAAATAAGTGTCTTAGCAATGGGATGCACAATAAGATACATCAGTAGTATTTCGGTTTAACTTATCAATTCTGGATATTTAGTTGTTCATGCTCATTTTCCTTATTTCATACTTCGATCACCTTACAGATAATCTTTAAAAACACTAATATCCTGAATTGATATGACTCAGATCATGCACAAACATTTGGTAGGAAGCGCTATCATCTGGAGACACAATGATCTGATGGTTTGACGCCTGATTAAGAGCGGTCCTGTAGTTTTTAAGGCACAAATCCAATGTCTATCAGTTAAGATCCTCCCTTTTTGTTTCACCGCTGAAGAGCTGTGGACTGTCCCGAATGAAGAGTGCAGTCTGGGTCAACCTTTGAAAATTGTGCAGCTGACAGGTCAGTGCCCCAGCGAGCCGAGGCATGTCTGAATGGCGCGCTCCTCGCCGCTTCACCTCTCCACCCAGGAAATACTGTCGAAGTCACGCAGGACGCGTCACACACCGTTAAGCATGCTGTCCATTAGGGGTGTTTGGCTCTCGCTGCAGGATGCGATGCAACCGGAGCAGCAGGAAAGAAATCAGAGTACTGGTGCTGGTGATTATAAGAATTATTCACATCACAACACTGTTGCACATCATATCACACTCACACATGATACACACTAATCAACACTCTTCAAAGTCCTCACAAAAGACAATGGCTACCAACTCGTTACCTCCAAAACACCAGCAGAGCTCTCATTAGACTGTAGCAGTGGCACTAATGACCTGAACAGATGCTGCTTTTAATGGCTTTACCTTTCAACTGCAGATCACCTCATTCATCAAGCCACCAAACAGTGCAACAAAACAATGACTAGGCCAAATGGTGACATCAAATAAGAGCACGCACATACACAAAGTTTGGGGTTGGTAAGTGTTTTTTAAAAATATGTTTATGCTCACCAAGGCTGCTTTATTTGATCAAAATACAGTAAAAACAGTAATTGTGTAAAATATTAAAATGTGAAAAATAACCTTTCTATTTGAATATATTTATTCATTTATTCCTGTGATGGCAAAGCTGAATTTTCAGCAGCCATTAGTTTAGTTTTCAGTGTCACATGATCTTTCAGAAATCATTATAATACAATGATTTGGTGCTCAAAAACATTTCTGAATTTTGAAAACAGTTCTACTGCTTTTGTGAAAACAGTGATTTCTTTTTCTTCAGCAGTTTTAAATGAACAAAGTTCAAAAGAACAGCATTTATAACAGAAATCTTTTGTAACAAGAAATGTCTTTACTGTCACATTTGATCAATTTAATGTGCCCTTGCTGAACAAAAGCTTTAATTTCTTCAAAAATTCTTACTGACCTCAACCCTTTGAATGGTAGTGTTAGTCAAAATAAAACCACAAACTCCCATATTCAAATAAGTTTTCAACCTTCAATGGATTTACAGCAAAACCTCCATGGTTTTAGTGGTGAGTACCTTGGTTTTAGTGGCTTCATCTCAACTCAGTCTTGTCCATGCACCTTGTCCTGAACTGGTTTGATACTGTGGTTTGATATTGTGACAATCTTTTCATTTGAGTTTTTTTTCTTCTCGTTGTTGCTTGAGTTGTGCTGGTGGTCCAAAATCCAAGTCCACGCAGCCGATCTGATCGACTGTCATTTTCTTTCCTTGCTTGGTCATTTTCTCACTTTGAATTTAATGAGGAAGGAAAAATGACTTGTCATGTTGTGAATGGTTCGAATATGGTGTTACAAGCCCACAGAAATCATGTTTTGGTTCGCAGACCATTTTCTCACAGACATGGTCCAGACGCTCCTCATCGAAGAACAAAGGCCTTCTTAAGAAACCTAATTTAGGAATGTGCTGTAACTCTTTTTATATTATTGGCCAGAGACTTTGTAGTCGCTGTGCTCTCCTTGCTGAGAATGATTGAATCTCCATACATCTCTATGAGAAAATAAAAGTGTCTGGCAATATTGACACATGGTCCACAGAGGTACTCAATCCTCACCGATAGCTTTAATGAACCCTGTATGAAAGATCACCCGTGATCTCAAGGCAGCAGTTGACAGCTGGAGAGGTACAAAGAGGCTGCTCTTAGGTGTGTAATGACCCAAAAACCGCTTTGGGTCGGTGGGAAGGGGTTGTGTGGGAAACAGAACTGAAGTTTAACTGCTTCTTCCTCTCTCTTGGACACTTCAAACCTGGTCAGGGATCAGCGAGTGCATTGAGGACAGGTGGAGGGTTGCAAATGCCTACCTAAACCTACTAAAACAGAACTGTGTATCAAAGTGAGAAAAAAGGGACAGATTTATTGTGACAAAGCTCAATGGAGACATGATCGTGTAAAAGACAGAACTGAAGAGAGATCAAGATGTGCACACATAAAGACTTTTGGGGCAGGGGAGACCTTCTTATTGTTGCACTGTGGTGAGACATTCTAGCACCAAAAGCCTCAAATGCTTCCAGGTTTACAGTCGTCTTAAAGTATTATGTGAAAATATGCAGCTTAAAGGGATAGTTCACCCAAAAATGAAAATTCTGTCATTAATTACTTACCCTCATGTCGTTCCAAACCCGTAAGACCTTAGTTTACTTCGGAAAACACAAATTAAGATACACACATACGTTGTTTACATTCAGATCAGAGCATGCGCATATGTCGTGATACTCTCCAAAATGGCGCCAGGGAGACGAATTGTTGAATAATGTCGCTATTTTTGTTTTCTTTGCGCACCAAAAGTATTCTCGTAGCTTTAAAAAATAACGGTTGAACCACTGATTTCACATGGACTATTTTAACCATGTCCTTACTACGTTCCTGGACCTTTATCGTGGTAGGATCCTTGCTGTCTATGGGAGGGTCAGAGAGCTCTCGGAATTCATTAAAAAATATCTTAATTTGTGTTCCAAAGATGAACAAAGGTCTTACGGGTTTGGAACAACATGAGGGTGAATAGTTAATGACAGAATTTTCAGTTTTGGGTGAACTAACCCTTTAATGCAACGGACACTTTTCTGAGAATATGGTTAGATAGACTAACAGGAAAACCAAATCTTCATTTCTCACTACGGCACAATGTACCAATTACTGTAAAAAATGATCATGATTATAACAGTAAAAGACTGTAAAAATGCTAAAGTAAAAACCTGTTAATTGGTTAGCAATAAGCTTCTGTACTATAAACGGTGAATAACTGTGATTATATTTAAAGTAATTTTACAGTAAAATACTGTAATTTTTTTTTTTTTAATTACATTTAAAAATTATGGTTTTTGGAATTGAAAAGGAACAAGTCATTGTATAATTTACAGTGAGTAGCCGTAAATTGACATTCCCAGAATTCCCTGCATGACACTTCACATTTGATGTTTTTTCATTGAAATAACAGTTTTTTCTTAGTTTTTTCTCATCAGTTGTGTACATTATGGTTTTATCTTACATGTAATGTTGTTAAATTCATGTTTATTGCATTATTTCAGTATCGTGTGTTACCATGATGGTGTTTAGTGTTTGTGTGAATGACATTGTACACCTTTTATATATATATATATTAGTATTTGCTTTCTCAGCTTGTGGAAAAGCTGTTTGTGATGAGCTTAGATTCATCATGTGGCTTTCTCATCACCAGCTATTTTAGGTGGTTATCAGTGTATTACAATGGTACAAAACAGATATTAGTACTTCAATAGGTTGGTATATTAACATTATATCAGTTAATGAAATATGTTTTTTTTTTTTTTTTACTGTGAATTTAAGTTAAGTCTGTAAAACCTAGAATGTTGCTACCATATTTTTTTCTGTAAAGTTCGGGCAACCACAGCTGCCGTAAATGTTACTGTTTTTTGTTGTTGTTTTTTTTTTACAGTGAACACTCCAAAAGGAAAGAGATACAGTAAAACACAGTAACCAAAGAAATTATATTCAAAATAAGTCAGAGAGGGTTTACTTGTAAAATTATCTTTTTAAAAAAAAAACAAACAAACAGTAAGATGCATCCTCACCTATCATGGGTTTGCATAAAGTCCCAGGACTTCTTTGTCCCATTCTGTGAAAAAAGCACAATTAAAATATCATGTAATTTCTAAAATAACACAGTTCAGGTAAAGATGTAAAAAAACACCTGAGACAGACAGTCTGAATATTCAAAACTGTAGAAAGCCTTAATCATTGCATTGAAAGTGGCTTAAAAAAAAAAGTAACCAAACTATTGTAAACTTTTAAAATCCATGTCCAAAGATGACCTGTAAAGAAATCTTAGTTCCATTGGAAAAGTGGCCCATGAAAAGATTTTTGAAGGTTTCATTTAAAACATTAAATACTGATTTTTTTTTCTGTCTGTAACTTCTATCAAGAGAATGTTTAAATTTCCAAGGTTAAAAGAGGTAGCTGGGCTGATGTTTTGAACAGTGCAAATATAATTGCTACAGTAGTTGCTTAGCAACTACATATGTCATCCATCCCAAAATTATATAAAAAGCAGTTAGTCACAGATCTTTCATTAATGCAAAGTTTAATGAAAGGGATAAAAAGTTGTTCAATAATAATAATAATACAAATTATTATTATTATTTAATAATTATCAATTAGTTGTTGTTGTTGTTTAAGCCAAAAGAAAAAAAAACATGCTGTATTGCTATAACATGTTCACATGAAAGATATCATGGATATACAAAAAATACCAAAGTTAAAGAGATGTTTAATCTTAATTAAACTATGAAATTGCAACTTTTAGATTTAAGCTCGATAAGTAGGTTTGTGTATTTGAGTTGTCAAAACACCCCAGCAATAATGGGAAAGGGTGTGCAGCTCTTAAAATGTTAGTATTAACAGCCTAGGCTTATGTTTTGTGTACAGTGCATGAACAGTACTGTCTCACTCACCCTTTTATATAAACCTCTAGCACTTTTGATCACCACAGTGCCTGAAGACAGGGATTCTGTGAGACATGAATATCACAAGAACGGACATGTTTCTGAAAAAGGTTGTTGGTGTTGCCTAAGATGACGGGGGATCGGCCTAGTGCATGTGTGTTTGTACTCTATTTGAAGGTGCACTACCTCTTGTTCAATCTACATACTTGTAAAACATTGCCTTTTCTATATACTTTATACTTGCCGTTTGGGATGAAAAGTGACTGAACACTCAACTAATTGAACTGTGCATCAAAGGTGATGCGCCCTGTAAGATGCTTGGCATCACAGAAGTATGTTCTCAGCAGATCCTTATCATATTTTCCCAAACAGAACAATTCAAATGATATTAAGACTATGCTTAACTCTGAGACTTTGCAGCCGATATTTGTCTCAACACATACTAGATCATGTGTCATAGCTGTGAACAAGTAGCCTACAGCCTTTATAACAAGAAGGTGGTTTTGGAAATGAGTAATTTTCTTTTCATGGGTGCTCTTTATGCTTACACCCACAGTAACTATTCATTCACCATAAAAGAGTGAATTAGCACATCACTCCCAACTCTGAAAAATTAAGCATAGCTCAGCATAAGCAGCATCTTGTAGGACTGTTATGATAACTTTCATCAGCTAAAGGATCATGATAACAGGCAGCATCATGAGACAACTTTCCAATTTTGAAGTGATGTTTATTATACCGAATGTGGTTCTAATAAAAAATAAAAAATAAAATGAATGAAGATGGAAATATATTATTATTGTTATACAATAAATGATTTACTCGCTTTCATGCAGAATTTCACTGTGGCCTAGTTAAACCCTCAAACTGATGGTCACTTTATGCAGATTTGACAGTTTTTTATATCCATATGTAGGTTGGTTGGTGTATAAGCACAAAGCCAGAAATAATCAAAAGTTTCATTACACCTCTCAATGAACAGACACTGTGCTATTTAAAAAATGCAGCACCTTTTTCCAGTTGAACAGCTTAAGCGTGACCCGCCTAATCATGGTTGCAGGTCTGATCTGTTAATAAGAAGCAAAGCTCCATTAATGGAAACCAGTGTAAAATGAGAGTGTGGAAAGTGAACCTGCATACCAAGCACGGTCAGTGGATCCGACGGGGTCATGTTTGCTTTGGGCAATGCCGCTTTTCGTGCTAATGACCTGTATCTTTTGGCTCCAAAACGTGGCTGTTTTGGAGGGAAGACTGAGAGAGCGGAACAAACTTCAGTCTTGTTGCTCTGTATGGTGTCAGATCTGCTCCATTAATCCAAGAGCAGCTAGTTAAATGCTTGAAAGGGTCTTTGTAATCTTCATACTCAAGAATCTGCTGCTTTGCAACATGAAAGAAATACATCCAAAAAAAACAGCATCCTTTTGACTAATGAATTTCCAATCATTGGTGATTGTTTAAAATTCAGTAATTCAGATTTGCTATAATGAATCATTTAGACTAGGGCTGTCACGTTTCCTCGATTAAATTTGAGTACTCTATTATAAAAAATCCTCGATTGCATTTTGCCCGTCGATTAACTAGCAAAATAACGTACGTGGTGCACTGCATGGACGAGTATCCATGAAAAGCCTTAATAGACCACTTTCTAAGGCTGCACGAAATATTAAAACAATTTAAAAATCATAATAAAACATAGTGCTCAGGGCTCTACGCTTATTTTTCTTTTAACTTAAAAAATTTAGGAGCACAGTCAAACATTTAGGAGCACCTTCTAATCAATAATCCAAAATTTGATCAAAAGTTAGCCTTCCCACTACGAGGTGATATTTGACTCCTTAAAGTGATTTACATTGGAATTTTGTAAACATTACATTTTTCTAACTTTATTAAAGTATGTAATCTTTTATGTCAAATTTTAAATTTTTTTTATTTTATAAGCTTTTTAAAAATTATTATTAAAACCACAGAATAAGAACAAGTAGAATACGAAGAATAAGTTACTACTCAAATAGGCATTAAATTAAGATCTGCTCATGTTGCACCGCATTTCATTTTAGGCGTTTTTACAGTGTTACGCATTTTAACCAATCACACACAATTCTGTTGAGCTTAGGAATGCAATGGCCAATCAGAGGCGTTCAGATGAGTCATCGTTGAAACAGATCAGTTTTGTTGAGCGCACGCGTTCGCTGACTGAATTCCGGACTCTCATCATAAACAACAAAGCGCAGATGTAGGTACAATATAAGTAAGAGATTCATTTCTCAGTGTATACAGCTTCAGTGATTTTAACGATAGTTTTGTTTTTCTGAGAGAGAGAAACTCGCGATAGATCAATGTTAGTGATATCACTTTCTATATATAATTTATTCGCTGTTTGAATAACCGTGGAAAGGAAATGTTATATAATTATCAATTTCTAACTTTTTTATTAAATTGTAATCACGTTAAATACTATTTCAGTCCCATTAAACATTTTTTTAGCCTAGACAGGTTTATGATGTTTAATACATTTGGCTGCTTTTAGCCTTACCCTGGAGTTGGTTCACCCTCCGCCTATGCTCTTACTCCGATTTCGCACTGCATGTACAGTGCCTTGCAAAAGTATTCATACCCCTTCATTTTTTTTCACATTTTGTTATGTTGCTGCCTTATGTTAAACTGCTTTAAATTACTTTTTTTCTCCATATCAATCTACACTCCATACACCATAATGGTAAAGCAAAAAAATGGTTTTTAACATATTTAATAAATGTATAAAAATAAAAAACTTAAATGATTCCATTGCATAAGTACTCATACCCTTATCTGGGACAGTTGAAATTTAGCTCAGGAGCATGAATTTCATATTGCTTGTAGATGTCACTACACTTCAAGTAAAGTTAACCTGTGGCAAATTCAATTGACCGGGTATAATTTGGAAAGGCACACACGTCTTTATTAAAGGTCTAACAGCTGATAATGCATATCAGAGCAAAAACCAAGCCCTGAGGTCAAAAGAACTGCCTGTAGAGCTCAGAAACAGGATTGCG